TCAATTCTTTGGCGCTCAGCTTTCTTTATAGTCCAACTCGCACATCCATACCTGACTACTGAAAAAACCACAGCCTTGACTAGACGGACCTTTGTTGGCAAAGTAATGTCTCTGCTTTTTAATATGCTGTCTAGGTTGGTCATAATTTTTCTTCCAAGGAGCAAGTATCCTTTAATTTCATGGCTGCAGTCACCACCTGCAGTGATTTTGGAGCTACCCAAAAATAAAGTCTGCCACTGTTTCTCCATCTATTTGCCACAAAGTAATGGGACCAAATGCGATGATCTTTGTTTTCTGAGTGTTGAGCTTTAAGCCAACTTTTTCACTCTCCTCTTTCACTTTCATCAAGAGGCTCTTTAATTCTTCTTGGCTTTCTGCCATAAGGGTGGTGGTATCTGCATATCTGAGGTTATTGATATTTCTCCTGGCAATCTTGATTCCAGCTTATGCTTCATCTAGCCCAGCGTTTCTCATGATGTATTCTGCATATAAGTTAAATAAGCAGGGTGACAATATACAGCCTTGACGTACTCCTTTTCCTATTCGGAACCAGTCTGTTGTTCCATGTCCAGTTCTAACTGTTGCTTCCTGACCTGCATACAGGTTTCTCAAGAGGCAGGTCAGGTGGTCTGGTATTTCCATCTCTTTCAGAATTTTCCACAGTTTATTGTTATCCACACAGTCGAAGGCTTTGGTGTAGTCGATAAAGCAGAAATAGATGTTTTTCTGGAACTCTCTTGCTTTTTCGATGATCCAACAGATGTTGGCAATTTGATCTCTGGTTCCTCTGCCTTTTCTAAATCCAGCTTGAACATCTGGAAGTTCACGGTTCACATATTGCTGAAGCCTGGCTTGGAGAAATCTGAGCATTACTTTACCAGCATGTGAGATGAGTGCAATTGTGCAGTAGTTTGAGCATTCTTTGGCATTGCCTTTCTTTGGGATTGGAATGAAAACTGACCCTTTGCAGTCCTGTGGGCACTGCTGAGTTTTCCAAATTTGCTGGCATATTGAGTGCAGCACTTTCACAGCATCATCTTTCAGGATTTGAAATAGCTCGACTGGAATTCCATCACCTCCACTAGTTTTGTTCATAGTGATGCTTCCTAAGGCCCACTTGACTTCACATTCCAGGATATCTGGCTCTAGATGAGTGATCACACCATCGTGATTATCTGGGTTGTGAAGATCTTTTTTGTACAGTTCTTCTGTGTATTCTTGCCACCTCTTCTTAATATCTTCTGCTTCTATTAGGTCCATAGCATTTCTGTCCTTTATTGAGCCCATCTTTGCATGAAATGTTCCCTTGTTATCTCTAATCTTCTTGAAGACATCTCTAGTCTTTCCCATTCTATTGTTTTCCTCTATTTCTTCACAGTGATCACTGAGGAAGGCTTTCTTATCTCTCCTTGCTACTCTTTGGAGCTCTGCATTCAAATGGGAATATCTTTCCTTTTCTCCTTTGCTTTTTGCTTCTCTTCTTTTCACAGCTATCTGTGGGCCTCCTCAGACAGCCATTTTGCCTTTTTGAATTTCTTTTTCTTGGGGATGGTCTTGATTCCTGTCTCCTGTACAATGTCATGAACCTCTGTCCATAGTTCATCAGGCCCTCTGTCTATCAGATCTAGTCCCTTAAATCTATTTCTCACTTCCACTGTATATTCATAAGGGATTTGATTTAGGTCATACGTGAATGGTCTAGTGGTTTTCCCTACTTTCTTCAGTTTAAGTCTGAATTTGGCAATAAGGAGTTCATGATCTGAGCCACAGTCAGCTCCTGGTCTGGCTTTTGCTGACTGTATAGAGCTTCTCCATCTTTGGCTGCAAAGAATATGATCAGTCTGATTTTGGTGTTGACCATCTGGTGATGTCCATGTGTAGTCTTCTCTTGTGTTGTTGGAAGAAGGTGTTTGCTATGACTAGTGCATTCTCTTGGCAGAACTCTATTAGTCTTTGCCCTGCTTCATTCTGTACTCCAAGGCCAAATTTGCCTGTTACTCCAGGTGTTTCTTGACTTCCTACTTTTGCATTCCAGTCCCCTATAATGAAAAGGACATCTTTTTTGGGTGTTAATTCTAGAAAGTCTTGTAGGTCTTCATAGAACCATTCCACTTCAGCTTCTTCAGCATTACTGGTTGGGGCAGAGACTTGGATTACCATGATATTGAATGGTTTGCCTTGGAAATGAACAGAGATCATTCTGTCATTTTGAGACTGCATCCAAGCACTGCATTTCAGACTCTTTTGTTGACTATGATGGCTGCTCCATTTCTTCTAAGGGATTCTTGTCCACAGTAGTAGATACAATGGTCATCTGAGTTAAATTCACCCATTCCAGTCCGTTTTAGTTCACTGACTCCTAAAATGTTGATGTTGACTCTTGCCATCTCCTGTTTTATCACTTCCAATTTTCCTTGATTCATGGACCTCACACTCCAAGTTCCTATGCAATAATGCTCTCTATAGCATCGGATCTTGCTACCATCACCAGTCACATCCACAACTGGGTGTTGTTTTTGCTTTGGTTTCGTCTCTTCATTCTTTCTGGAATTATCTCTCCACCTTCTCCGGTAGTATATTGGGCACCTACTGACCTGGGGAGTTCAGCTTTCAGTGTCCTCCTTTTGCCTTTTCACACTGTTCATGGGGTTCTCAAGGCAGGAATACTGAAGTGGTTTGCCATTCCCTTCTCCAGTGAACCACATTTTGTCAGACCTCTCCACCATGACCCGTCTGTCCTGAGTGGCCCTACATCGTTTCACTGAGTTAGACAAGGTTGTGGTCCATGTGATTAGATTGGTTAGTTTTCTGTGATTGTGGTTTTCAGTCTGTCTGCCCTCTGATGGAGAAGGATAAGAGGCTTATGAAAGCAATCCTGATGGGATAGACTGACTGAGGGGGATACTGGGTCTTGTTCTGATGGGCGGGGCCATGCTCAGTAAATCTTAATCCAATTTTCTGTTGCTGGGTGGAGCTGTGTTCCCTCCCTGCTCTTTACCTGGGGCAACACTATGGTGGAGGTAATGAAGATAATGGTGACCTCCCTCAGAAGATCCCATGCATGTACTGCTACAGTCAGTGCCCCCAACCCTGCAGCAGCCACGATTAACCCAGCCTCCCCGGAGACTCCAGGACCCACCCCAGACACCCACAAGCAAGTCCAGAACAGTCTCCTGTGGGGTCACTGTTCATTTCTCCTGGGTCCTGGTGCACAAGCTTCTGTTGTGCCCTCCAAGAGTCTATCCTAGTCCTGTGTAAGTTCTGGCAGCTCTAAGTACTTTTATACTACTTAATATAAGTGCCAAAAATAGTTACAACTGAAATTATACTGGAAGGATGGGGGGATAAAAGGATGGAGTGGGGGTAGAGGATGATGAAAAAGTCAAGTCCTTAACCACTAGAACAGCAATAAATAATAACTAAAACTGGAATTTGAAGATGAGGAGGTAAATGATACAAGAATCAGCTAAGTTGTAAGTGGTTGTCTGGGGATCTGGAGGCTTTTGTTTTTCATAAAACAATATATGTTTTATGTTTTCATAAAGCAAGTCATCTGCATAGTCATACCTTCGGTAAAAAAATAAAAATTATGCCACCTGGCCTTACCACATTTAACTAGTAGCGAAGATGACTTTTGAGAAGGAAAATTTAACAATGTATATCAAAATGTCACATGTGCACACTCTTTGACCTAGCCATTCCATTTTTACCAACTAAGAAAATCACTCTACAAGGGAAAAACAAATGCTTGACTTAGGATATTCACTGGCTATTTTGTGTTTCTTTTTTTAAAAATTGGGGCTCATTTTCTTTGTTCATTCTTCCACTGACTTGATGGAGGTATTTTACTCTCTGATTTATAGAAACTCTTTGCATATTAGGGGTACTAACCCACTGTTGTAACTCATTCTACAAATAAACCATATGTTTTGTCCTACAAAGTTTTACATTTTTATATAAATAGATCTATCAGTTTTATTTCTGGCTTCCTAAATTTAGATAAATATTTTCCCATATATTCTTTGGACTTTTTTTTTTTTTTAACATTTAGACCTTTAATTGATGCATATTTTATTTTGGTATATGGTGGGAAATTGTGCTCAACTTTTACTTTCTTCGAAAATCATAGCCAGTTATCCAATAGTATTTATTGAATAATTCCTTTTTCAACTGATGTTGAGACTACTATATAATCAAATTTTCATATATAGATAGATGTAAATAGGTGTATACACACACACACACATATATACACACAGACATATATACATATATATAGAGGCAGAGCTTGTTTTACTGTTCTTCATAGATACTGCGTTGTTTTACAAACTGAAGGTATGTGGCAACCAAGCATCAAGCAAATCCATTGATACCACTTTTCCAACAGCATTTGCTCACCTCATGTCTATGTCACATTTCAGTAATTCTCACAATGTTTCAAACTTCTTTGTTATTATTCTACTTGTTATGGTGACCTTTGATGCTACTACTATAACTCACTGGAGGTTCAGATGATAGCAGTTTTTAGCAATAAAGTATTTTTAATTAAGGTATGTACTTTTTCCTAGACAATTGATCCCTGGGTTGGGAAGATCCCCTGGAGAAGGGAATGGCAACCCACTCCAGTATTCTTGCCTGGGAAATCCATGGACAGAGGAGCCTGGAGGGTTACAGTCCATGGCGTTGCAAAGAGTCAGACACGACTAAGCGACTAACACTTTCACTTTCAATGCTACTGCACACTTAAGACTACAGTATAGTGCAAACATAATTTTTCTATGCACTAGGAAGCCAAATATTCATGTGACTGGCTTTCCTACGATGTTTGCTTTATTGCCGTGGCCTGGAATGGAACCCATGGTATCTCTAAGGTATGCCCATGTGTGTGTACACATATGTACGGTACATACGGTATACACATGGGTTTTGGACTCAGTTCTCTTCCACTGCTTTAAGCCACTGTGTAACACAATGAAGTCAGATCAAAAGAAATCACTTACCTGTCCTTCTTCATCAAAAGCCATAACCACCACGGCAGCTCCAAACTTCTTAATCTTTCTGGCCTTCTCCAAGAAGTCATCCTCTCCCTCCTTCAGGCTGATGCTGTTAACGATGCACTTTCCCTGGCAGCACTTTAACCCGGCTTCAATCACAGCAAAATTGGAAGAGTCAAGGCACAAGGGCACCTGAGGTCAGAAGGGCCAGACGTCACAGAGACACAGCAGCACACAGGGCCCCTTCCGAGGGCTCTCACATATGCCCTCCTTCTCCTTGGGGGACAATGAGCCAGTGGCAGCGGTGCGACAGAGACAGGCTTTCAATCTTACTCTTGTTCCTAAACACCAAAGTACCCAGAGTAATTCCAGTCTAAAAAGAGACCTCGTGCGTGGGCCAGAAACTGGTAACTCAAAAGATCATAGCTAAATATCAGAATGAGCGCACAGAAGTCTTTTCACTGGGGTCATTTTGCCCCCTCTGATTCTGATTTTAAACAGGTCATTTAGCTTCTCTTCACCTTAAATTCTCAAAATATTTACTCCCAGAGAAGCCTTGAGGCTTTTAAGTGCAAAGCTTTAAGACACAAATGAAGGATGGGTTAATATAATTTATTATAATATATAATATATAATAATATATAATATATATAATAATATATAATATAATATAGTGCTTACCACAGGACTTCTCACTTAAACATCTGCTGCAGCTTAACAAAAAAATGACAGCCCTAGCTCTTAAGGCACTAGGAAGTGTCCTTAAAAGAATAACAAAAACAAAAAAAATGTCAAAACTCACTCCTCATCACAAATTCAATGGTAAAGAAATGAACATTTTTAATTTTTTAGAACCCATCTAAAAGCTTGAAATTTGAAACCCATTTGAAAAGCTGGACACAAAAATTAACTTTCATCTTAAAGAACAAATGTAAAAGCTGACATTAATACCTCAATTTAATCTTGTTTTATAATTTTGTCTTACTCTGCTATGCCTAAAAAGGTCCCTTCTTCCTGCAATAAGGAAGGACTATCTGAGTTCCCTAGTCTGTGGTAGAAACAGAACTAATGATTTGGTAGCAACAGATAAGTATATCTTTCAGAGACATGAAAAGTTAGTTCTTAGCCTATCCAGACACCAGAGGAAATTCAATAATCCTTGTGACCAATTCCAGAAGCCTTGGAAACAGTCGCACTACTGTCACACCTTTTTCTCTGAAGTCTGGTTTATAATGAAGGGCTGCCATTATGTGAGAAAACAGACAATCAGAAACCACTGGGTTTTCAACACAGTACAACAGAAAACCAGTGACAGACAAAGGGAAAAGTGACAAAGTCAAATGAGCAACAGAGCAGCACGTGTAAATTCCCTTGATGAATTGAAGTTCTGTACAACCTTGGCAATGTCAGGCTCGGAAGCAATGAAGTTGCAGAATCTGGTCATTGCACTTGGACCATCCAGCATGCCATCATCCATGTTAATATCCAACACCTGGGCTCCCATTTCCACCTGCATTTTGGCAACACTCAGTGCTTCCTGAGGAAAGAATTCAAGAGGAAGCAGCATCAGGAGAGGGTGACTCAAGAAAAGGCTGACAAAAGTAGTTCTTCACCATCCCAGGCAGTCCCTTCCAATTCCACTAGGCTAGCTAGCCAGCCCCTCACCACTAGCGCTGCCCTTTACCCCGACCCTGAGCTGCTCTCAACCATCACAGATGAACCTTTCCTAAAAATCTCTTCCATCACAATTCATCACTCCTCAGAACCCACAGAGGCTCTGATTCCTCCGGTAAAGAATCTCAGTCCCTCAGCATGGTGTTCCAGGTCCTGGGGACCTGCCCCATCTTCTTATCCAACTCAACGTCTCCCTAAACCCCGGCACACCTCACCCAGCCAAATCCGCTTCTACCTGTGTCACACATATCGTTCCCTCTGCTTCAAATACAATCCCCTCCCTTTATATACTATTTAAGACCTAGCTCGAGTCCCACCTCCTTCAAGAAAAGTCATTACAGAAACCATCCAAAACTTATCTAACTCTTCAATATTCACCAAATCATGCAAAGCATACACTGCAGGCTACTGACAGCAGTTACATGAAATGTAAGTTAAACTTTTTTATGCTAAAAGGATTTTCAAATCCATTAATACATTATTATACACTGTAAATCTCCAAGTACAAAATACAATACACAGCATTTCCCACTTATGGTCATTTAAGGAATATGCTGTAGGATCAGTGTTCCAGAGAACACACTTTGGGAAACACTGCTTATTCCACAATGACTGGCTGCCTCTAAACATCTGCAACAATTATAAACATTATCACATAGTATATGACATTACCATTTCCTCATGGTTTCACAAATATGAGCTTATTCTCTAAAACAGATTTTAAGCATTTGGAAAATTGAGAAAGGTCTTATGTATCTCCCACTCTTGTTTGAACAATGATAGGCAAAACAAATGTGTTCAATAAAGTTTTCTAACTGACTGGTAAGAGTAGAGACTTTAAGTCTTTGTTGTACATTTCATAGTGTAATAAAATAAGCAGGGATAAAATCAACAGTAGATTCTAATGTTGTCCTAATTTTTTCTTAGCCAAAGAAAATCAAATAGAAATTTTTAGCAATCATGAGAGAAGAGGCATGAGACCCTGTGGCACAGGCTCGAGGGAATTCCATTCACAATGATCCAACATTACACAGAAAAAAGGGCTGCAATAAGATTCAGCAAATCAAGAAGTGTTTTGATATCAGCAATACAGTAAATACCATAAAGAATAAAAAGAAGCGTAAGTCACAGTCCTCGTTCTTGAGGGCTTACATCTAGTTGAGGGCATACGACAATCACAGGGGAAGCTATGGACCCTGCCGTACAATGGGCACCAAACGTCCTGCCTAAACACCTGGAAGGGCGAGGTCTCCGAGGACTGCAGAGAAGGCCCCCTGAGAGGGAGCGGCTTCAGCTGCCCCTGGGAGACAAACTGGAGGGAGCAGAGGGGAGACAGTAAGCAGTGGCCTGTTTAGACCAGAGGTCAAAAGACTCAAAATAGCGACGCTAGCGCCTGACCTTTCTACATCAGAAGAGCAACAGAATAATAGCTCAGGGGTCCAACTTCCCACACATGCTCCAAGGGATGAAGTCATTTGTTTAAAGATGTCCAAGTTGAGTAAACAGACTGGACTGGACCTTCTCTCGGGTCAGAGCTCATTCACGTAACCAGAGAACCTTGAGGGAGCACTAAACAGGCGCACTAGAATCCAGCGAGGAGTCATTCGTCACCACCCACTTCCTACTTCCCAGCCCCATCCCTGCTGAGACAGCAGAGTGGTGAAGGGTATGGGCTTGGAGGACTTGGGGTCTAACATTCACTTGCTGTGAAACAACAGGCGAGTGGCTTAACCTCCCTAAGCCTCCAGCTGGACATCTGTAAAATGGGGATGGTAACAGCACCTCTCTCACAGGTCTGAAAAGATGAAGTCAAAAATGGCTGCAAAGCACTGAGGACAGTGACAGGCGTGTAGTAAGACCTTATGAGATGACAGATACCACTCCCACTTGCCTGCTTCTTCCTAAAAAGATTTGCTCTCAGTAGCAAATCTATCAAATCCCAGACTGAAAGGAACACCACAGAATGGTTTTAATTATCAAAACACAAAGAGAACACCACCACTGCAGAACTCTACACCACCATGAACGGTTGTAGGGATTTCACAAGAGTAGACATGAATGAAGGCCTGGAGGCAGAAGAACACCTCCTGGAACGCTCAGATGACAGGTCAGGACAGAAGGCAGGTTGGTGTCTACCTGGAGAGGACTGGATGATGGCCTAGGGAGTTTGGGTTGCATCCCACGTGCAAAAAAAGCCACCCCATGAAAGCTTCTCAACTGGGGGAGACCATGGCAGCAGGATGTGCTGGTTGAGTAGTAGCAGGAATGAAGGGAAGAGGACAGACGGGAACCATCACGAACCATATAACCATATAACTGACGTACCTGAAGAACAGACCTCCAAGGGACACCACAGAGCAATCATTAACACATTCATAAAGGATGATAAATGCACACTTTCTCTGTGACTAAAACTAAGTTTACTTTGATACCGGTTGCTGGAAGATGTAAAGGTTTTTAAAATCTTAAAATGAGAGGTTAATGAAAAAAATAAAATCATTAATGCCCATATCAGATTCCTCCATGTTTTAACTTCATATTTGCATAAGAGAAAAGAAGTCTGTCCTTGGTGGGCTCTCTCTGGATTAAATTCTGCTCATTCATAGAGTGATCAAGTTTAAGAACACTAGGGCAAAACTTTTCAAGGCAGGGCCTATTCTTTCTTTTGTGTTTGTTTGTTTATAGTAGTTTACAGTAAATAGAATCAATAATGTCATGCTGGTCAGTATCTGATGTGGTCATAGGAAAATAAATGGGAATTTTCTTGGCTTTCCATTTCTTTAAAGGATTTGTGAGAAGCTGAAATGAACAGTATCTTCAAACTTTTAAAATTTCACAATTAATAGAAACAGCTAGAACCTGGGTCCCTCCCATCTTATCCCATTTCATACCTCGGGTGCATTTTTTTTGACAAATATCAACAAGAGCAGCTTTGGTTTTCCTAAGCCTCATCCTCCCAGCCCGGCCAGCTGCAAACACACTTTACCATTCTCACACTGTCTAGCAGCTCTGTAGCAATGCTATCAAAGGCAGAGCAGCTTTGTTTGCTGCTGCTTTGTTTGCATGTGTTTGTTAGCCAAAACACATGGCGGATGCCTCAAGGGTCTTATTAACGATGCTCACTTCATAATTTCCTCCCATGATGAGTTTAGCAAACCTCCTGGATCCTGCAACGTTACAGCGCTCTCCAATGTTAACAAAGTTGGTGTATGCTCCGATCCTGAAGGGCTCTAGACCTTAAAAGGAGAAGCAGTCTGAAAATTTTCTGAAAATACATGTAACAACAAGAGACAGCAAACAAACGTTGTCATGAGCTAGAAAAGAAGTTTCTATGCCACATTCCATCTGACTAGCTAGGCATGGCCTTTTCCCCTAGGGATATTTAAACACAGTACAAGTCTCTATGTTTACAACCAGAACTCTCAAAAGAAGAAATATTTCAGGGTTTTAAATTGCAAATTTCTCTAAAGAGCTGAATCATAACCAGCTCTGAGTAATAAGGCAAAATTATCAACATATTCTTATGTAACCAAGAGTCTGGGGCAAAAGCCATGAGGTTAGAATCTAAAGGAATGCTCCCCAGCTGTCCATTCAGACATTGGCTCGAAACCAGACGGAGTAAGCTTTCTTAATCCTACCAACAGTGTATTTAGAGTTTTATCTCATCTCTTTGATCCAGAGGCCAAGAACCAATAATCGTTGAGGCCCAACAGGGTCACGAGGAAGGACTCGGGCTGAACACTGGGAGACAGCTGACCCTGGCGAGCCACTTACCTGTATTACTCCTCTTTATTTGTCAAGGGACAATAGCATCTCCCAGTTAAAAGCTGATACATTAGGGGCAAATATCAGATAATTACTGTGCATGTGTTACACTGAGGAAAAAAGCAACATGCAGTATAAAGTACTGCCCGAGGAAATGACCTTTAACTGTTTTTGTTCTACCCTTGTATTTACAGTATTAGGAGCAGAAGCCTTGCTAGATGGTCACAGGCAGGCTCTGCGAACAGTCAGCACCGGGGTACAAGCCCCGTACAGCCATTTTAGTCAACACCCCAGGGGACTTGTCTCAGAGGCTTGAGCTTACCAAACAACTCCATGTCTTTTGTTCCCTGACTTGAAAGACTACCACTTCCCAGTCTGGGCCCGTGATTTCCTTCCCCATTGGTACCATCCTCACGGCCTCATTCCCCCATGGCAGCCTCAGAGCATCCCAGATCTTTAGTCAGAACCTGGAGATAGCAAGGCGCACAGGTAGCTGCCAACATTTAAACGCTGGAGAGACCCTGCTGCACTGCTCTAAGAGCGTTTCACACCACACACTTCCAATCTACTGTGAATCTGAAGTGTCTCACAGAAAAACTACATTTACTCTCAAGCCTGCAATTTACAAAAGAACAATTAAAAAGAGCATGTTTGATGTTATTCTTCTAAAATCTGATTGAAGGTGGTTTTTAAAAACAATTTAGAAATAGCACATGAAATTCAAATCAGAAGAAAGAATTCTTTCATTCTTACATATATAAACTCTTTAAAAATCATAACTAAATGGTTATTTCCTATTTCAGTTGTGGCAAAGGTTAACCATTTTAACTTAGTCCTTGGCTGAAGTGGTTCAGATGGTAAAGAATCTGCCTACAATATGGGAGACCCAGGTTCGATCCCTGAGTTGGGAAGATCCCCTGGAGAAGGGAATGGCAACCCACTCTGGTATTCTTGCCTGGAGAATTCCGTGGACAGAGGAGCCTGATAGGACACAGTCCACAGAGTCGCAAAGAGCTGGGCATGACTGAACAACTAACACTTTGGCCGAAGTAAGATCTAAGGATGAAATAAACTATTCCACCACACCTCTTTCTGATAAAAGCCCCTTTTTCAGCATAGGGGGGTGTATCATAAATCACAAATCCCTCTTCTTCTAATTTTATCCTGTCTTCTGGAGAATAAAAAGGAAAAAAGGGTTGACTGAAGAGGTATATTTTTAACTCAACTTCATCTCACTCACTGGGATTAATTCTATGTAGCATGTTCTGAGTGAAAAAAGTAGGTATTACTTTTACTGTACTTTATTTCACTTTTCTTAGGAGAACATATGGAACAAAAATACATCAGTTTAGAGAAATGCTAAATTCTCAGTTAGGGTGCATAATTCCTTGTGTGTGCTATTTGCAGGTTCTCTAAGAAACTGTATATACATTTTCCTTTTGGCTTAAAGATATTATCTAAGAGCACAACATTAAAGTGTTGTGGGAAAAAATATAAAATTTAAAGTTTTTTTTCCAATAGTTGGCATGATAATCTATTTTACCAACACTCTTTTGAACACTGAAGCTTATTCTGAAAAACGGAAGCTGCTTACCCCACAGGGTTGTTGAGAACAAAACAGAATAATAGATATTACAACTCTTTGTAAAGTCCTGAACACACACTCAACATAAGAGCATGACAATAATATTTTAGAAGCATATAAAATTTTCTAGGAAGAGACTACCATCATTAAAAAACCTTGAGCCTGGGCTAGATTTTTTAGCAACTAGCAACAAATCTGACAATTAAAATTGTTAGGCTGTGGCCCACGTACATTTTCAAAGCAGTGCACAATAATTCTGACCAAGGGCACTACCTGTGCCTTCATTCACATTTCCCTAAAGTCAGTACCTTCCTGCTCCCATCCCTAAAAAGAACAAAGCGTTCTTTACCAGAATTAATTTAAGTGCCAAGAAAAATACATAGTCTTCTTTGACCTAATAAACAAGTTTCTTGGCATAAACATCACTACCACATAGACTAAACATACAAACTTAATCTACAAAGGATTTCTGAAATTATAAAAAAATCACACCTTTACAACTTACCAGACAGTAGCATATGCCCTTCAAAAACAGTGGCAGGTGGAACTCTAGGCTTACAGTTTTTCACAGCTTCAGCAATTTCTCTGAGTTAAAAGAGAAAACACGATATTCATTAACTCAGAACAAAATTCAATTAAGATAATTTCCAGCTATGACATTAAGTCTGCTTAACATAATTATATACCTAGTTCCAAATGTGCAGCAGCAATTGTGCTTTTTAGTTTTCTCAGTAATGCAGAAAATAAATCTATAATATTTCATATTTCTGTATCTGTCCCGTCTGCTGTGTATTGACTATACCAGTTTCTATGCTCACAGACGTGAACCTACAAACATGCACCTACAGATATGAGACAGTTTACACAAATGCAAACAGCAAATCTCTTCCACCCCTTTCCCAAACCTGAAGATGTCCTTAATCCACACAGTAATTTAAAAGAAAAAAAGGCTTCATTGTTGAGAAGGAAGAGTAAAGAGGAGAGGAGATGCCTGGAGCAAAGGAAATTAAATCCTTTAGGTATTTTATTCTCAAGCACACACACACAGTAGAGAGGATTCAGAGTAAGACATCACTAAAACTCCAAAATAACTACTCCTGGAAATTTGTTTTAGTTATTCATACTCTTTGGAACCTTCTCGGCTTCAATGAAACATGTCTCTGATCAGCCTTGAAAAATCTGCCTGCTCTACTAAATTGATCAGGACCAGTATGAACCATTCACTACAGCCCCCCAAATTAATATGTGAATGACAAAATAAAAGCAGCAAATATACATATACAGAGATAGATAAACAGACACACACACACACACACACACACACACAGGTATTTTTAAAGCAACTCTTTTTATAAAGGAGGAAAGTGAACGTGAACGTCACTCAGTCATGTCTGACTCTTTGTGACCCCAAGGACTATACAGTGCATGGAATTCTCCAGGCCAGAACACTGGAGTGGGTAGCCGTTCCCTCCTCCGAGGGATCTTCCCAACCCAGGGTTTGAACCCAGATTTCTCGCCTTGCAGGCAGATTCTTTACCAGCTGAGCCACAAGTGAAGCCCTATAAAGGAGGAGATAACCTTAAAAACAAAAAGAGATCCAAAGATAAGCTATCCTCAACTATTAACAGCTTTCAGATAGTATTTAAAAGATGTTTTAAAAATTATAGACTCTTAATAGAGTCTCCTGGAGAAGGAAATGGCAACCCACTCCAGTACCCTTGCCTGGAAAATTCCATGGATGGAGGAGCCTGGTGGGCTCCATGGGGTCGCAAAGAGTCAGACACGACTGAGCAACTTCACTTTCACTTTCAATAGAGTCTACCACAGAGGTCAACAAAAGCAGCGCAACATTAGGCAATTCATACAGTGAACATTTTATAGGTATGAAACAGATGCAGAACAGTCAGGTGACTGGCTCAAAATATGATCATCAGTCACTTTAGGGAAAAAAAATAAAAACAGTAACAGTCCTCAACTATGTTTTACTCCAATTGTTTTTCAATTCCAATCCTCTTTGTAAAAGGATTAATCACCACACCCTTCACCAAGTCCTGTCTCACACTCCTTTCCTTAACCCTTAACAACATGGGTTAAGTGGTGACTGTGCCAGGCGAGGTGAAGATGCTCTTCTTGACCTCACGGTGCTTGCTGCTTACTGTCTTTTCTGTCCATGAAAGAATCTAGACTTCCGTTCTCTGCTGCTGCGGACTGCGGGCCGCCAGGGGTCAGTGAAGGATCTCAAGATGGCTGGACGGAAACTTGCTCTAAAAACCATTGACTGGGTAGCTTTCGGGGAGGTCATCCCTCGAAACCAGAAGGCCGTGGCTAACTCCTTGAAGTCCTGGAATGAGACCCTAACCTCTAGGCTGGCCACTCTGCCTGAGAAGTCACCTGCCATTGACTGGGCTTACTCCAAGGCCAACATGACAAAGGCTGGCTTGGTGGATGACTCTGAGAAGAAGTTTAATGCCCTGAAGGTTCCTATACCGGAGGATAAATATACTGCCCAGGTGGATGCTGAAGAAAAAGAAGATGTGAAAAGTTGTGCTGAGTTTTTGACTCAGTCAAAGACCAGGATTCAGGAATATGAGAAAGAGCTGGAGAAGATGAGGAACATAATTCCATTTGATCAGATGACCACTGAGGACTTGAATGAAGTCTTCCCAGAAACCAAATTAGACAAGAAGTATCCCTACTGGCCTCACAGGCCAATTGAGAGCTTATAAGCTCGGGTCCGGGAGAAAGCTCTGGCCCTTGAATTACAAACTCTGGACATTAAAAATAATTACATGGTGCTGTGTGTGTGTGCTGCTTTGTGGCTGAGATAATTAAAACTCTGGGGTGACCTCAAAAAAAAAAAAAAACCAAAAAAAAGAAAGAATCTAGTGGAAGCAGGTATTTCTCCACACTATGAGCTATCCTTCCTTTAGTGCTGGAATTGAACACTGGAATATTAATCAGGTATTTAAAGGTACAATGTTAAAATAGCTAGGATTTGCTTATAATCATCTAAGGGGGAAAAAGAAGTTAGAGAATAGATAGAATAAGAACAGCAAAATGCTGAAAATTATGGAAATTATGTCTTAGTCACACGGGATTTCATTTTATTATTTTTATACTTTATAAAAATTAAAGTGTCCTAGTTTGCTAGGACTGCCATAATTAAATACCACAGGCTGAGGAGTTTAAACAGCAAGATCCATTTCCCAAAGTTTTAGAGGCTAGAAGTCTCAGGTCAAGGCATCAGCAGGACTGGTTTCCTCTCCTTGGCTTCTAAACGACTCTCTTCTCCCTGTGTTTTCACAGGGTCCCCTCCTGTGCGTGTCTGTGACCTCATCAGTCACACACTGGGTCAGGATCCATTCACACGACCTCTTTTTACCTTAATCACCTGCTTAACCACCCTACCTCTAATTACTGTCATATTCAGAATTGGGGGTTAGGGCTTCGATCTGTGAATTTTGAGGGGGACACAACTCATCCCATTAACAAAAAAATTAAACACTTAGAAGTGATTATCACCTGATATGATCTGGTGTCGTACCACAGCATCCGCCAACTATGTTGACCAAGCCATCAACAGCAAAATCCTGCATTTAGAAAATGAAAAAGTTTCAGAGAGTTCATATGAATTATAAGTTCACCACCATCAATTCACCATCAATTCTAAGTTCACCACCATCCACATTTCCTGAATAACTAATTTCACATTTAAAAGAGAGCTAAACATATTTGACTCTAGATATCAAGCCTTCACAAGACTCAGATACAAGGTTAAAAGCAAAGAACAGTTCAGATGAAATGCAATGAGACATCTGCCTATCTGATCATAATAAAAAATTTTTTTACCCATACGCTGAGCAGAATGAATGTGAACTGAATAATGTATTTTCCAATAACATGTAAGTTATTAGTTTTAAATTTAAATTCACATGTTGAAAAAATCAGAATTTCAATTCCTCAGTCATAAGAACCACATTTCAAGTACTCCGATGACCACAAGTGACAGAGGTTACATAATGCATAATGTGGGTCTGGAGTTTAACCACAGTTGGTCTGAAGGACAAGATAATCAAAAGAGGAACTCAAGGAACTGAGAAGTGACAGTACTGGAAAGAGCTTCTACATAAGGTACTGAAATCATAAGAATTAAGTCAGAAATACTTTAGGAGACAACTTCAATAGGCCAGAAGCTAAAAATCCAAGGAAGGAGGAAAAGAGACCCAGGGTTTAGAAATAAGGAGGAGTTGTGGGCAATACGGTTTTGTGAACCAGGACTTCAAAGATGGAAGGTGTATGGAGAGAAGCGGAGCGGGGGAAATGACAGTGGGAGCAAAGCAATGCCAACCCCCCGAGCAGCTTGGTGGGCGGGGAAGACCACTGGGGAGCACTCAGAGGACGGTTTCAGCCAGTCGGGGTTGGACCCCGCTGGGGATCCACTTGTTTCCACTATGGAGACGGATGCGCCGGGGTTGGACCCCGCTGGGGATCCACTTGTTTCCACTATGGAGACGGACGCTGACAGCAAGCCCCTTCCTCTGCCTCCATGATAGTCATTCATCTTAAGATTTTATTTCTTATATACAAATTGGTTTTCTTTATAGGCAAAGTCTATGTCTAAATATTCTAAATCAAAAATTCCATTTCTTTATCTCTTAAAAACCAAGTGAAAGAGGATTCGTGACCTTTAAGTGCATGGCCATCATGTGTGGAGTTTCATCATAGTCACCGAAGGTATTGGGAAGACCTAAGAAAGCATATTTCAACCATTACTGGAAATTATTTTCACAAACAGATATAGTACTTGTAAAGGCTTTTGGTTAAAAGGTTAGAAAACTTTTTATTTATAATTAAAGCAAGATTACTTGAAAAAATAAGAATTCTTAGTATTAAACATAATAAGTACAGAGACAACATATCGAACAGCAACAAAATCACAGAGGAAAATAAATATCCATTATTTCTTTTTCATTTCAAAGAAAAGTATCACTACTACATGGGACAGAATTTCCTCACCTCTAGCCCCCCCTTCCTATAAAAGAAATTAATTCTAGTCACCTAGCTGCCAGAGGGGAAGGTTTGAGGGAGTACCACACATCCTTTGAACATTAAGCACCGGGCATGCAGTTAAAAACAACCAAAATACAACCCATCCCCTTTCAAGTAAGCTTTCCCAAGTAAGACTTCAGCATCTAATTATCCAATTTCCTGTTTTATTTATTATCCACTTCTAGTTATCTTATTCCTAATGCTCAAAAAGATACACCAGGAAATCTGATTAACCCAGGATGGATTATCAATATTAAATGGACAGCTTAAAAATTGTCTACTTTTACCTTAGGAGTTTTTATATACCATAAATTTGCAGTCCTAACTTTAAAGGAGGAAAAGCAACAGGCTCTTCATCTGCTGACACAGCGGAACAAAGCAGGCTCTCACACAGGGCCTTGGCACTCATCGCTCTGGCCATGCCCACACGGCGGGCACTGTCACCAGTTCCAAGACTCTGGTCAGCTAAGCAATGAGGCTTCATTCCCCCAAGCTTTGTCCACTTCTGATACTTTCAGGCTGAGCCAAACTGTTCCTTCATATCTAGAGGGAAACCGTTGTCCAGACCCAAGTATTCTTCATTTAAAAAATTCCTATTAAAAGATGAGTATATCCTAAGATCTGCAAAACAAACTCTTTTAATCCAGATCTGTTTCCCTATCTACTCAGGTCTTGTGTATCTGGATTCTCCTATGTGTGACTCCCCTGAAGCACATACCTGCATTGGGATAACAGAGAACATAAGCTGTTGTACATTTTCCAATTGTTTCAATAAAAGGTCTCATTTCAGCGGCACCCAGAGCACAATTTAATCCAATGCTGAAAAAACAAAAAGAAGAGATTAGAAGCATCCTCTTTTATGCTAAATATTTATACATATACAAAGTTATGATGAGGAAAGCAGTATATTTTAAACCAAGCAGGTAATAAATCTCTTGATTTGAAGTACATTTAATTCAGCTCCAGTCAAAGTCACCTCACTGATGTTCCTTGCAGCACTAAATATTTCTGCTCATGTCTGCAACATTAGATGATCTTACAGCTTAAGGATCCAGACTATAAATAAAAAAAATAAGTTCACAGTTTCATCACTGGTATACCATGAAACAAAAATGTCTGCAAATTACCACTGCTAATAAACACGGATTGAAAAGCAATACTGAAGAGAAAGAAAAAGGAAAATCGTGCAAGTAGATGGAATATTAATGGTATAAGGAAGACACTTTAGGAGTCTAGGAGATCAAGACTTGGCCCTTGCTCCAACTGACTTGCAACATGACCTTGGACTTAGAATTTGTCATCTTATAAATTAAGTGGGTTGACTTCTAACCAAGGAGCTCTGTGTTTTGCAAATGAAACTTACTGCGACTCAAAACAGATCAAAGCAGAGCTGCTAAACCCCTCCAAAGCCACTCTCAGTGGGAGCTGCCAAGGCCTTCAGGAATTCAAGAATTAACTATGAAGTGACTGGGACTATGTCATCTTTTATTTTTTCATATTTTACTTTTTTCCCTTTGTTATGATTTCTTAGTGCAATGTGATATACTAGATTAGAACTTGGAACAGAAAAAGAAGAGTGTGGAAAAACTTGAAACCTGAATAAAGTGTGGAGTTTAGATAACAGTAATATGTTTTTAGTTTTGCCGAAAAGTATCGCAGGTAATGCAAGATGTCACGTTAGAAAAAATTAGATTAAAAAAAAAAAAAACTAGCTGAAGAGCATACAGAACTCTCGGTACCATGTGTGCCACTTTTCTGCAAATCTGAAATTATTCCACAATAAAAAGTTTACTTAACAAATTCACTACTCTCATTTGTGATAAATACTCCTAGTTTACTAGGAAAAGAAGAAAACTTCTCACATTGGGTAAAGCACATCTATTTTTTTTTTTAAAGCACATCTATTTAATGATGTAGAATTAAATGTTTTTCCCACATGATCTGGAACAAGGTAAGAATGACTTCTCTCACCTCCTGCTAAATGTCACGCTAGGAGTCCTAGGAGGGCAGTAAGAGAAGATGGAAAATAAAAGGTATGCAGATTGGAAAGGAAGAAACAAATCTGTCTTTGTTCACAGGTAAGACTATCTATTACTATTCCAAAGAATCATCTAAAACGCTCTTTGAACCCAAACTGTAAAGTACAAGGTTCATATAAAAAGTTAACTGTTTACCTATACACTAGCAATAAGCAATTGAAATTTGAAATACAAAACATAACACTATTTACAATGGCACCAAAACAAATGAAATACTTGTGTATAACTTCAAAACTCTGATGAAAGAAATCAAGGCAGATCTAAATAAATGGGGATATATCCCAAGTTCATGAACAAGAAGATTTATTATATACTAAAGACCTCAATTCTTCCCAATTTTATATACATTCACACACATCAATTAAAATCCAGCAAGTTATTTGTGAATACAAATAAACTGATCCTAAAGTTTACATGAAGAAGTAAACGACCCAGAATTGCTAATACAGTTCTTGAAGGAACTGAAGAAAAGTTGAAGGACTGATACTACCTGACTTCAAGATGCACTGAAAAGCTAAAGGAATCCCTGGTATTGATGAGAGCACAGAGCAATGCAGCAGAATAGAGTCTAGGAACAGAATCAACTGACCTTTGACAAAGAAGCAAAGGCAATCCAATGGAGAAAGGATTATCTTTTCAAGAAATAGTGCTGGAACAACTGAATATTCACATTTGAAAAACTTAATCTAGACACAGGTCTTACATCTTTCATAAAATTAATGCAACATGGTTAACTGTAAATTGCAAAACTATTAAAGATATAAATATGAATATAAAGATTATATAAGAGATAAATCTACATGACCATGGGTTTGGCAATATGTTTTAGATACAGCACCAAAAGCAGGTTCCATGAAAGAAAAATAAATTGATACGGTGGACTTCACTAAAATTAAAAACTTCTGTCCAATGAAAGAGCAGACTTTAAAAGCATGAGAAGACAAGCCATAGATAGGCTGGGAACAAATACTTGTAAAACACATATATGGTTTCACATTTTTTTTTTAATTCTTAAAACTCAACAATAAGAAAACTACCCAACTCAAAAAATAAACAAAAGATCTGAAGAGAAACAGCTACCTCAAGGTGTTGCTGCCAAAATTAAGAGAGCATAAAGCACTTAGAACTGAGCCTGGCACACAGCAGACTTCCAATAAATGTCTATGACTCTTATTTTTATGGCCAAGACTATAATAAAAGTCCACAGAGCACTCTGAGAAGAACACTGACCTGGGCTGGTAAGAGAGGGAAGGGTCCCTGGAGAGGACCCTAGGGATGGACTGAAAGGCTTGCGTGTGGGGATGAGAGTGCAGGGCAGGCACAGCCTCCAGACAGAAGTAGCACATACATGGGCAAGGCACAGGAGGAAACTATGTATACTCTAGGAGCTTCCATCTCATCGCCATTTTGATCAGAAAAATAGAGAGAGATCTTAAAATACAAGGTAAAAGCCATGCTAATTTTTAAAAATAGTCATGTATTTATTTGGCTGTGATGGGTCTTAGTTGTCACACTCGGGATCTTCAAACTGGCTTAGCGTGAGAACTTTGAGTTGCAGCATGTGGAATCTAGTTCCTTGACCAGGGTTTGAACCCAGGCCCCTTGCATCGGAAGTGCAGAGTCTTAGCCATTGGACCACCAGGAAAGTCCCAACCATATTAATTTTAAAGATAAAAATCTGAGTTTTAGAATTCCTACTTTATTCCAAATTAGGCTGCTTCACCTTATTCCAAACTAGGCTGTTTCTGGTTGCTCCACAAGCAGGGAGTGAAAAAACCTTGCAGTTTTTAAGTGCTGATAATAGTTTTAAAGCGTTCTTACTGGGCCAAGGCAGTCTTAAACTATAAGGGGGACATTCACAGACCAAAAGGCAACTTCCTGGCTTGTCCAAAGAGTATAAGAACTCTCCCAGTAACTCAAATTGATTCATTTAGGCTGTGGTCTTCTGACGTCCTCAGAGCAGTCAGAATATAGCTCAAGGAAAGTCAATATTTCACACAAGTGATTCCATGGGAATATGAAGAAGCCATTCACTCCCCGGGCACAGACTGCAGTCATCAGAAGAGATGAACCCCAAAAGGTATGGAAGCAGGAAAGAATGATCACTCACCAGAGTGGGTCTGCATGAGACACGCTGATGACAAATGCCTCCCCGGTCTGGCCAGAGAGAGTCCGCCCACTTTTATCAACAATTGTCCCTGAAATCTGCATTAACAAAGTAAACTCAGTCAACCACATAGACTTAAGAATACAGTCTCAAAAACAAAACAAAATTAAAAAGCTTTAAAAAAAAAAAAACATGAAAGAGAACTGTAGCGCTCCAACTTTAAGGCAACACTGTTTAAACCATGGTTGGAAACAGATGAATGCAAAGTGCCCAGGGGACGGGCTGGAAAGCCACAGAAACAGAAAAGGGAAAGTCAGGGAGGCTTTAGGATTCACACCGCCAGTCCTATTGGAGAAGACTTTTCACAGATATTTAAGGTTATCCTGGTCTCTTGCCGTTCAACATGAGATTCGTCTAACAACGCTTGTGGGTTCTAATCTACTCTCAGCAAGCAGTGTGGGCCTGCCTAGTGCATCAGTGAACTGGCAGTCTGCTGTCTCTGGTGGTGGACACTTCATGGTCAGATTCAAGTCCGTCCCTCCTTGGGCCCTAGAGACAGTGCACCTTTGACTCTGGGGGACCAATTCAGCCAGGCTTCCTTGGAACAGCCTGCCTTTCACCAACCACCTCTAGATTGGTTGTCTTCACATTTCCACAGATAAGACTGCTATTGGTCTGAAGGTGTTAGTAGGAAGAAGGTAAAAAGAGGAAGTTAAAATAGTTGGTTCCTAAAAGATGATCAATACTCTCCAAAGTTCTATGTCAGGAAAACTAAAACCCCACCCTCAAAATGATGATATTAAAGAAAAACACACACGAAATTCATCATGCAAATACTTTAGAACTTACAAAGACAGGCCGGGGAAGATACTCCTCTTCAAAAAGTTTTTGGACCGCAAACAAAGCTGCCTGCCAGGGAGAAAAAGGACATCTTTGTTACTGAGAGACTGTGTCAAAGGTCACAGTCTAACAGGCTGATCAGAATGTTCCTTTTACCAAGGCCTCTTCAGATAAGACATATTATGCTCTCTGGGGAGGGGAAAGAAGTCTCCATGTAACATACAATATCCACACCCCTTTCTCAAGGTAACACTGCATATACTCAGTTCAGTTCAGTCGCTCAGTCGTGTCCGACTCTTTGCGACCCCATGAATCGCAGCACACCAGGCCTCCCTGTCCATCACCAACTCCTGGAGTTTACTCAAACTCATGTCCATTGAGTCGGTGATGCCATCCAGCCATCTCATCCTCTGTCATCCCCTTCTCCTCCCGCCCTCAATCCTTGCCAGCATCAGGGTCCTTTACAATGAGTCGGCTCTTCGCATGAGGTGGCCAAAGCACTGCAGTTTCAGCTTCAGCATCAGTCCTGCCAATGAACACCCAGGACTGATCTCCTTTAGGATGGACTGTTTGGATCTCCTTGCAGTCCAAGGGACTCTCAAGAGTCTTCTCCAACACCACAGTTCAAAAGCATCAATTCTTCAGTGCTCAGCTTTCTTTATAGTCCAACTCTCACATCCATCCATGACCACTGAAAAAACCATAGCCTTGACTAGATGGACCTTTGTTGACAAAGTGATGTCTCTGCTTTTTAATATGCTGTCTAGGTTGGTCATAAATTTCCTTCCAAGGAGTAAGCATCCTTTAATTTCATGGCTGCAATCACTATCTGCAGTGATTCTGGAGCCAAAAAAATAAAGTCAAGCCACTGTTTCCGCATGTATTTGCCACGAAGTGATGGGACCGGATGCCATGATCTTAGTTTTGTGACTACTGAACATTAAGCCAACTTTTTCCCTCTCCTCTTTCATTTCATCAAGAGGCTCTTTAGTTCTTCACTTTCTGCCATAAGGGTGGTGTCATCTGCATATCTGAGGTTATTGATATTTCTCCCAGCAATCTTGATTCCAGCTTGCGCTTCCACTGTACATATTACAACAAAACAAACGCTGACTGGAAGTCCACCCATGGACTAATATTTCCCCTGAGGAAGAGCTGAAGAGCTACTCTTTTTCTTCCTTCTCTCAATCAAAACTAAAAAGAGATAAATATGAAGCCTCTACTTCCACAGCCTCACATAAACAAGGTAGGTACACAAACCAACAGTGTTTGTCACTGCAAACAAGAATATGAGTTAGAATGGGTTGTAAAGACACAAATGCTGTGTTAATCTGTACTGTCCATATTTTCTTAAGTTCCAAGACCAGAAACTAAGGTCCTCCAATGTCCAAAGCTCTTCCATATCAGAACCCACAGACAGAGATACCGCATACCTAAAAACTATAATAAGGTAGTATTTTTCACCTATTAGAATGGAAAAGACCAAAAAGTTCAATAGAGAGGGTATGGTGAAAGCAGCAGCATTCCTGTGGACTGCTCACTGACTGGAGGATAAATGAGTACAATCTTGGAGGGTACTTTGACGCTGGAGATCAAAAGTAACAGTGCCCAGACTCTCTAATGCAGCAATTTCACGTGTAGAAATTTATACTTAGAGACACTGTCAAAAACGTATGCATGAGGATAGCCACTTTTTATTCCACACACTATGTACCTTTGTGCATACGTAAGGAATACAAGCACATCTGCACACTCACAAGCATACTTTTCTCTGAATGGAATCTCCACAGGGCAGCCACACCAGTAACAGCAGCTGTCCCCGGGGAAGATGGCTAGATACCCAGGGAATGGGGACAGGGAGGATATTTACTTTTTACTCCATACATTTATCTTGAATTTTAGAATCGTGCATATATATTTGACCTATGCATCCATGCACATACAGTAGCTATACATGAAAACATTCAGTTTCATAATTGAAAAGTACTTTTTAAAAGAAAGATAGCCTTTCAAAGTTTCCTTCATTCTACTGGACTCAGTTAAAAATACTCAAGAATAAAACAGAATTGAGGAATTTGATTTAACTTGAATAATGTTTATTATATTATATGACAATATATAAAATATGTCATATTTCCTCACTTCATGAGGGGAAGCACCCTAGCCCACACCCCAGCTCAGCCCCCTTTTCGTCCTTTAACTCACCTTGGCATTGGCAGTATCAAAAATAGTTTCAATGAGTAAGATATCCACTCCACCATCCAGAAGCCCTTTGGCCTGCTCTTTGTATGCTTCAACAAGTTCATCAAATGCTGCAGAAAACAAACCATACCCAGGACATCAGTCATCAGTATCCTGTGAAAGCCCAGGACACACCAAATTTAGGCCTGGCTCCAGGTGAACTACCTATTGCTGGCTTATAGGCATAATTTAAGGGCAACACCACTTTTTGTAAGAAACGTGGCAGTGATGGAAGTTAAACCAGCAAACTAAACACTGACACTCCTAAACACTCAGCGCACAGGCTCACTTCCCGTGTGTGAGCAGAGAACGAGCCGCTGGGTGGGGAGGGGCATCATTTCGGGAGCCCTGGCTCTTACTTTAAGACCTTTAAAACAGATCTTTCCAGGGATGGTTTTAATCAATCAATTCAGGGAAGAGTGTGAGGAATAATTAGAGAAACGTGTCACACTGATCTGGATTCATGACTGGTCGAGTCACATTCTCTCACACCTTCTGGGGTAAAAGTCTGCGGTTCTACCGATTTTGCTCCTGTCCTCTGACACCAACTCTGTCAGAGAAGAAACCTGCCTGGTGTGCAGTTTCAGTCTCGGACACAAAAGGGTACAATTACTCCTAGGTAAAAGTTTTGTTCAAAATGTCTTATCTAGTTCCATCTCAGAGGTTATCCCACTCCCCATTTTATCTCTCACCCAGGAAAGGAAAGATGCACATATATTCAACAGAGTAGCCTACTTCACCTTACATGATGCAAGGGAAAGGAAAGCCCTCCACTGCCACACCAAGACCAAAAGAAGCTCCTGTCACGTGTCAGCCCAGAATGAGCAACTCCTAGTGGAAAAGCGTGGCATCTGGAACAAACTCTACAAATCGCGCTTGCCTGACCTTGTCTTCGACACAGAATTCATTACCACACATGGTATCATTACTATCCAGCTCGGACCGTTTAGTTCTTTTTGTTGTTTTGCAGTCTAATGCTTAAACTGACCTAGATTTCTAGCCTCCTCATAAAATTTCAATGCATGTATGTTACAGATGCTGGTGTATAATGTTAGTCTGTATATAACTGCTCCCTGACAAATAAAGTGGGGTCTAGTGGGCTATTCTACAAACTGACCAAGGCCTAGTATCTATATTTGCTCAACTTCTCAGTTTAAAGTTTCATTTTGATTGGTTTTGTTTCCACAGCTGATAAAGAAGCCCAAACGTAACAACATGGATCTTTGAAAGCAGACACAAGATAAATAATACTAATCCAACGACTAATAACAGCTCACTTTTATTTAAATGTCTACCACACCCCAGAGACTGCTAGGCCCTTAAGTCACAACAACCCCGAAACAGAAGCTGCCACTGGCCCCATATTACAGATGCAAAGACTACGGAAACACCGAGGTACTTGCCCGAGGTCAATGACTGTATATGATACTCACTGATGTTCCTGTAATCTGGTCTTTCCACAGATGGGGACACAGAGAGTGTCTTGTTAGTTGGACCCAGAGCTCCTGCCACATACCTCTTAATTCCTTTGGGAAAAGAAAAACAAGTGTGAAATCCCTAAGTAGCTTGCCCTTTTTGTTGTGAGTCAATAGGCCATCAGATTTTCCCTAGAACACAGGAATACAATTCTTTGTCCATCCCTCTGAAATTAAAAAAGCACAAAAGCCTCACTTTTTCCCTTAATTCAACAACAAAACTTGACCTCACCTGAACCAGAAGAGGCTATTTACAGTTTTTACTCCACTTAGTGGACAATTCATAGATTTTACTGCAAATAGATATCTGATTATGAGGGCCATCCTGGACCCCATTGGGGAAATTATGAAACATGAAGTGCACATGTGACCTCCAAGCCAATGCAAAAACTGAATTCTCATATCTGGCTTCAAAGAGTTTCAGATAGTAATCCTTTTCTATCACAACAGCTATGTGAAAGTGAAAGTCATTCAGTCACGTCCAACTCTTTGCAATCCCATGGACTGTAGCCTGCCAGGTTCTTCTGTCCGTGGAATTCTCCAGGCAAGAATACTGAAGTGGGTTGCCATTTCCTTCTCCAGGGGATCTTCCCAATCCAGGGATCGATCCCAGGTCTCCTGCATTGTAGGCAGATTCTTTACCATCTGAGCTACCATGGAAGCATCACCACAGCTATGCTTGGACAAATTCTCTTTCTCCCTACCCTTAAGAAACCTTGAAGGTCATCAACATAGGTTCTGCAAAATTTCCTCACAGTAGCATTGATCTTGAAATGCTTGCCACTGCTGTATTGCAGGGCCTTTGCAGGGGAAAAATATTAAATCATGGTGGGTAATTACAAAGCCTGAAATTAAAGTACAAAGGAGATCAAATCTTACTTTAATAACTCTTTAAGCATTCCTGAATAATCTTTCCTCTAGGCTAGAGTCCTGGTGCTCCTAAGAGCCTGACATGTTGTGTTCATTTACATATCCTAACACTGCTCATCACCGGTGGTGATTTTACCCGGGCTATGTTTTCCATTTACCAACCAATCGATAACCCAGCTTTTAACAGGTTACAATATTCTTTACCCACCACCACCCCCAAGCTGGACAATAATGTTGGTTTAAGAAAAACGTTCTTATCTTCCCCTGCTTGGCTGACTGAATATCCTCTGCTCTGTGACTCTACTGGGGCAATAGTCTATGCCCTTCCACATTTAACATTATCTCTCAGAAACAGAGTTCCTATAAATTGCTGCAGTCTTCATTAGTATGCTGTGTCTAACTTCCTAACAATTTTGCTTTACATCTTTCCTGTTGGCAACAATTTCACATTTCCAAATCTTAAGGGGTTCCATGTATTTCTTCTATTCCTTTCCCACCCTCAAAGCCTCCCCTCCAGCTGGTGCCCAAGTGTTCTTACGGCAGCCAGCCAGGAGGTGAGCTATTTTGGGGAGCCATTTTTTAAACCCCAGCAAGCCTGACGCTACTGTCACCCTCTTCTGTGCTACACAACAGCGCCTTCAAAGACATGAGTGGTGTGAAGTGGAAAACAGGCGAAAGAGAATCTCTCTTTACCCAGGTTAAGGAAAACCTCAAGCATGAGGGTCACTTGAAAGGGGTGAGATCACATATCTTAATGATCACCACTATGACCACAGCACTCGGCTGTGCCTCAATAACCTGAAGATGCGCTTCTGAAGGTAGAGAAATCTTCTTGGCTGTAAACAGATGGGGAAGCCATGGTCCTGGTAATAAAATCAAGATATAACATCGAGTAAACAGAGCACGAGACAGACAGACCCATGGAGACAGGGTCCATTCAGAGAGACGCTGAATGCCTGATTATGAAACTGCAGAGAAGGAACCTACAAACAAGTACACAATGGCATCTGCAGCGTTGCTCTAGGCCAGCTGTCACGGAAGGAAAAACGGCAATAAGCACAGATTATTACAGCTAAGAATGTCAAAGGAAGTAGCTTTGTTTTTTTTTAAAGGAAAAAAAAAAAAGGAGAACAAGGTTCCTTACCTGTCTGGAGAGTTATCTCCTCGGCTGCTTTTCTGGCCACTCCCGCAGAGCACATGTTCATCCGGTAGGCCTAATACATCAATGGCAAGTGTTACTTTGTCCTTCTTTACTTCCATAAAATAAGTAAGGAATTCATGACCTTCTAAAACTCAGTTTTATTCAGTAAGAAAATGCAGAGTGAATTAATTTGAGGTCTGAATAAAATCTTAGCCAATAAGGCCTACCAGCTGCCCCAGCAATGAAGGCAACAGGAAAGGCAAGTCTTTGGGAACTGCTTTTACATTCCTCCCCAAAACCATGAGCTAGCTGGCAAAAAGGGCAATCTCTGGACATCTGGCACATCAGAATAAGCTGATGTCACAAAATAGGCTGAAAATTAAAACAATAACAAAAACACAGTAATGGGGACTCATGGGCTTCAGAGACAGGACACCTGGGTTCCAGAACCAGCTCTGCCACCACCTGCCTAGGTGGTTTCCTCAGCAACTCCTGCAGGCCCTGGCTTCCATCACCACACAACGGCTGGAGACACTGGGTCTGAACTTTTCGTAGATTATTAACCTCTAGAGAATCTGGAGGAGGGCCATGAACCCTCTCCTTGTGACTAAAAGGCAAGCATACACAAACGTCCAAAGCAGTGTCCACAAGTTCTGCTGCAGTACAGTCAAGCCCATCCATCTACGTGCTATCTACTGCTGCTCCCGCACTATAATGCCAGTGTTGAGCAGCTGCAACAAAGGCTGTATGTGACAGCAAAGCTTAAAATATTTAATGCCTGGCCTTTTACAGAAAAAGTTTGCCAATCCTGCCCCAAAATAACACAAAAGTAATTATGACGCAATTTCATTTTCCCTTGATAACCCCAAAGGCAAGTGATTTCACAAAGCCCCAACACTGAGGGAAATCAGTGTCAAGGCACTCAGGACTACATGCCTGAACACAGAGGCAGGTCTGGGAAAAATTCCACCCAGAAATAGGAATCTCAGCATCTACCACCTATTTTCATCAGGTTTACAAAATCTGAATATGGAAGCATGGTGTTGATTAAAAAGAAACCAAATCCTTTACCCCACACCCACTAAGATGCCTACTATGACGACAAAACAAAAACAAAATCAGGGCTTCCCTGGTGCTCAGTGGAAAGAATCCGCCTGCCAATGCAGGAGACACAGGTTTGATCCTCTAACCAGGAAGATCCCACCTGCCTCAGAGCAACTAAGCCCATGTGCCACAACTATTAATTCTGTGAGCTGCAACTACTGAAGCCCGCACTTCTCTTGTGGTCTGCAATAGAAGTCACCGCAATGAGAAGCCTGAGCACCAGCCCTCCCCCTCGCTGCAACTGGAGAGAAGCCTGCACAGCAGTGAAGACCCAGCACAGCCAAAAACAAATAAATAAAATCATTTAAAAAAAAACAGAAACAGGACAAGTGCTGGCAAAGATGGAAAACTTGAAACTGCTGTACACTGTTGGTGGATATATAAAATGATGCAGGTACTGCAGAAAATAGTGTGGTAGTTTTGCAAAAAATTAAACAGAATTACTGTATAACTCAGCAACTCTACTTCTGGGTATACACTCGAAAGAAATGCAAGCACAGATGCAGAACAGATTGTCAGTACACCATGCTCAGAGTAACACTGTCCACAACAGCCAAAAGGTAGAACCAACCTAAGTATTCAACAGTGGATGAATGAATAAACAAAATATGGTATATCCATACAATGGAATACTACTCAACTTTGAAAAAGGAAGGATATTCCAATGCCTGCTACAGCATGAGTGAACCTTAAAGGACATTAAGTGAAATAAGCCAGTCACAAAAGGACAAATACTGATAATCTGCTTACATAAGGCAACTAGAGGAGCTAAATTCACAAAGACAGAAAGCAGAATGGTGGTTTCTAGGGGCTGGGGGGAAGGGAAAATTGGGAATTATTGTTTAATGGGTACAGAGTTTATGTTACACAAGATGAAGCGTTCCATGGATAGATGGTGGTAACGGTGGCACAACAAACAATGTGAATGTATGTAATGCCACAGTAATGTATGAACTGCACACTTAAACATGGTTAAAATGGTAAACTTTATGTTACATGTATTTTGCCATGATTTTTTTAAAAAAGGAAACCAGATCTGTCACTCAATTTAAAAAGGCTTTACAAAACTGCACACACGGCCAATCATTATGCTTTTATTCAATTACTGCATAATAAGCATCATTTTTATTTGATTATCACTAGTCCACAAAAGAAGGCAACTGGAAAATGACTGGGCAGTCATGTTTACAATCAGAAGAGATTCCAACCATTTCCTCTGTTGACCACAAACAATAGATAACTAGACATTAGCTTGACCCTGCAGGTTTGGCAGGTTTTCACACTAGCAACCACCAATACAGCAAATACTCATGACTATCTTAAATACAAGGAAAAATTAAATCCTTACCAAGTGTTCCAGGCCATAGTCAGCTTGGGCAATAGCAGTGCTGCTGAAAGTATTTGTTTCAATGATATCTGCCCCAGCTAGGAGGTAATCCTGCAACAAGAGGTCATGTCAATGCTATGAGTTATAGAATCGCTGCCCCCTAACAGTAAACTTGCCTTTTCCTCACCATCCTCACCAAATCCTTTTTGACTACTTACTAAGTGCAAGACACTGCACTAGATACAGGATAGAGACATAAAAGGATATAGGAATTTCATAGAAAGTCATGTGGTATAAAAAAAAGAGAACTTGAAGTCAGACAAAGTTCAAATGTGGTGTGAACTGAGTCAAGTTCCTTAAACTCTGAGTTTCAGTTTCCTCATTTGAAAGTATTATTACAACCCTGCTTCATCAGTGGCCAGATGATAGTACAGATCGCACATCAAGCTTCTGGCACACGATGGTCCTCAACAAATATTCTGTCTGCTCCTCTGCCATGTCCCAGCTTCAGCACAGATAGGATTCTGTTGAGAAGGGCCCTCTCGCTGCAATCTCACTTCTGACCACAGCTGCTTCAGCCCACAGCTCCTGGCCCCTCTGAGCCAGATCAGAACCCTCACTAAACCCCGAGGACCTTGGTGTCCTCCTGTTCTCCCTGTTTGAAATCTTTCTTCCTTGTTTCACTCTGTCTCAATCTGATAAACACTCTGGAATCTCCTGATTTTCCAACACTGAGTAAACTCAACCCCACGTAACCAGATAAGACACTGTTTGCAGAAAAATTTGGAAATAAAATCCAAGATTTACACACTTTTAAGTCACAAACAGCCTAAATACTCATCAATAGGGAAACGGCTAATAATATGTCCATTTTATTACATGTTATATGGCAGCTAAAAAATACCACGTGTGGGGAGTTCCCTGGTGGTCCAGTGGTTAAGACTCTGCTTTCACTGCAGGGGATATGGGTTTGATCCCTGGTCGGGGAACTAAGATCCTGCATGCAAGCAGCAGCCAAAAAATAGGTAAAACCACAACAACACTGTGTATAAATATCTACGAATATGGAAACATCTCTAAAAATACTGTGCAGTAGAAAAACAAAATTAATATGACACCATTAAATTTAAAATATACACACAAATAGTATTGAGTTTTCCAGTATACATATATATATACACTTATGTATAAAAGAATAACCAATGATTGGAAAGACATACACCAACTAGTATAAGTGGTTATCTCTGGGGAAAAAACAGAAATTTGGAGTAGTGGTTAAAAGGCAATTTATTCTTAACTATGGGTTCTGTTTTATCAGAACAAATTAAAGTTTAGCTTTTCAAAAAAGAGAAAGAAAAACTGAAAACAACCTTAATGCCTAAGAATAAGGTTAAATTAAGCAAATGGTGATAGAATAAATAAATAAATAGAATAAATTTGTACAAAGTTACTAAAACCATGTCTCAGAATATTTAATACTCATGGTATTAAAAAATGCAAATTATAAAATAGTATGGAGAAATAATAATCCCAATCTAATTTTTAAAACCCAAATACAGAAAACTAGTCTGAAATATAAATTAAAATATGTGAATGGCAAGTATGTCTTGGTAGTGAATTTACAGTCCATGGGGTCGCAGAGCTGGACATGACTGAGTAACTGAGCATAAACACACATACTGATATCAGAGGTGGTTTTTATTTTATGTTTTTCTATTGAGCTAGAGATTTTATTTTTGTAACAAGGAACACACATTATCTCTATAATTAGGCAGAGAGTATTTCTAAATTCCCAGTTATTCTCTCCAATTCTGTGTAGGTTTAGAATTTTCCATCATATGAAGTTTATAAGGTGTTTCTTCTAGCTCTTCACCTTTTCTCTCCACTCTCTTCCCTGGAATAATACCCCACTCATGGGCTCGGGATATGACACCCCAAGATCCCAAGCCTATTCTCGCCAATTAAAGTGCGTGTGAGGCTGTCCCAGCAAGGGCCTGCTGTGCAGCGCAGGCGCCTCCGCCCCATCTGCGTGCAGCCAGGGTGGGGGTGCGCTTGAGGGGAATGGACACATATACGTATGGCCGAGTCACTCTGCTCTGCGCCTGAAGCTATCACAACGCTGCTAACCAGCTATGCTCCAATATAAAAGTAAAAGCTTAAACAAAGAAACAGATGGATGTGGGCAAGCTACTTGATCACTCTGCTCGATTTTCTTCTGTAAAAGCTGTCAAGGTTAAAGGAGGCCATTAATGACAACACAGCAGAGGCTACCTACAGGTGTTTTAAACGTCAGTTCCTGTAGGTCTCAGCCTGACAGCAGCAATGGGCTAGGAAATGCATGAGGCATTCATCTGGGCCCTACCCTCAGTGCTGAGCCAGGACGGGGCCAATGCCATGGCCTGACTGGCCCTAGCGGCTCTTATCACAATTGCAAGACTCACCTCAGCAATTACTATCAGGGAACTTTTGAAAAAACAAAAAGGTCCTACTATCCACAGGTCCTGAAGGGTGCAGGCATGCTCAGGCCACACAGTGAGGTAGCTGGGGGTTGGAGGGAAATAACTGAGAGAACCAGGGTTCTGCCTTCACTGGGATCAAGGTAGATGCTTAGAATGTTGTGGGTTCACTCTTTACTGGAGAGCTTAAAACCTAACAGTAGGAATTAGGGCTCAGGAAGCAAAAGGCAGGGTCACTCATTTCGGTTACCCAGGGCTTTCTCCAAGAGGAACGTCACGGTGGGGGAGCCTGTTTGCTAGTCGGTTAGTCAGCAGCAGCCGTCTCATACAGCTGTCAGGGTGTTCACAGACAAGGATGTGTTTGAAATGGATGCCTCCCCAACCGGAAGCTGAAAGTCAGGCACCTACATTGCAACCAAAACAGCTCAGTGTCAGGGACTGGCACTTTGTATAGAGCCTGGACATTCCGTTAAAACGAAGGATCAAGGGATCAGCTCTATGGTCAGTAACACTACTAGAAATAACTAAGTGTGAAAAGGCCTATTCTTTTTCCCTTCCTCATCCATGAACACGACATGGTCTCTACATCCAGAGAACTCCAGCGAGTCAATATCGCACACAAATGGGACAGCCAGATACACCTTATTGTATTTACTGCCATTTTGATTCATGTCCCTATCCTGGGAAACTTACTGTTCTTTCTAGTTGCCCATCTACCACAGAAGACAAAGATTCACCCTCTTGAAAAACATTTACTGACTTACTTTGTGCAAGATACTGTTCTCAGCTGGAATTCAGTAGTGAAAAATAGGCATAAATTAGTGCTCTCAGGAAGCTAACGGTTGGGGAAGGTGGTGATTTCACCAACTGCATGATAAGAACTGATGTTTGTGTCCATGTTGGGCTTCCCTCGTGGCTCAATGTAAAGAATTCTCCTGCGGTGCAGGGGATGCAGGAGACACAGCTTCAATCCCTGGATCGGGGAGATCCCTGGAGAGAGAAATGGCAACCCATTCCAGTATTCTTGCCTGGACAATCCCACGGACAAAGGAGCCTGGCAGGCTACAGTCCATGGGGTCGCAAAGAGTTGGACATGACTGAGCATGCATGCATAATTGTAACTGTATGAAGCAATTCATACCCATGATGGCATTCCCAATCTACAATGTGCTGGAATTTTATAATGCAATTTGACTACATATTAGAAGGCCTAGCAGAAAAACTTGTAGAATCAACCTCTTCAAGAACCAATTTTCAATCTTCTAGTGCTGCCAATTTCTATCACAACAAAAGAAAGACACTCCTAGTTTTTCTTCAAATGAAAACTATTCTGCATCTTATCTAGAACAAAATCTTGACCAGCCAAGAGAAGGTTCCTTCCACCCTCAATGAATCATTTAATCATTCATTCATTTAAGTGATTTCCTTAAGAAGAGTCTGAAAGGCACCAAAAACAAAAACAAACAAGTGGGACTACATCAAACTAAAAAGCATCTACAGAGCAAAAGAAACAAGCAATAAAATGAAAAGGCAATCTACTGAACTGGAGAAAATATTTGCGAATCATGTATCTGATATGGATATCCAAAATAAAGAATTCGTACAATTCAGCAACTAACAAAAAAAATACAAACAAACCAATTCAAAAAAAATGGGCAGAATACAGGACTTCCCTGGCAGTCCAGTGGTTAAGACTCTACACTTCCACTACAGGGGGTATAGTTTGATCCCTCCTCAGGGAACTAAGATTCCATATGCAGCATGGCATGGCCAAAAAGGAAAAAACAAGCAGGAGACTAGAACAGACATTTTTCCAAGGAAGATATACAGATGGCCAACAGGTTCATGAAAAGACAGTCAACAGCACTAATCATCAGGGAACTGCAAATCAAAATCACAATGCAATATCTGAGCTCACCTATCAGAATGGTTTTTATCAAAAAGACAAGAAATAACAAGTGTTGGTGAAGAGATACAGAAAAGGGAACCTTCGCGCACTGTTGGCAGGAATGTAAAGTTTGCACAACCTCTATAGAAAATAGAATGGCGACTCCTCAAAAAATTAAAAATAGAACTACTGTATGACCCAGCAATTTTATTTCTGGGTTTTATCCAAATAAAACAAAAATACTAACTGAAAAAGACAGAAGATACTCGGTTGATTCTGCCAGTAGCATGCTTGTTTCAAATATTAAGCCATGCACGTCTAAGTGAACACAGTCAGGACAGTGAAACTGAATGGCTCACAGAACCAGCTACGGTTCCTCCGGTGGCCTGCTTCTCTCAGAAAGCCAGAGATGAGCCCGCGAGCCTAGAAGGACCTTGTCGTCGACAGGGGAGGAAAGAATGTACAATGGAGAAGAGACAGTCTCTTTAATAAGTGGTGCTGGGAAAACTGGACAGCTAGGTGTAAAAGAATGAAATCAGAACACTTCCTAACAGCACACAAAAATAAGCTCAAAATGGATTAAGGACTTAAATGTTAAGACCAGAAACTATAAAACTCTTAGAGGAAAACAGAGATAGAACACTCTTTGACACATATCACAGCAAGATCCTCTATAACCCACCTTCTAGAGTAAAATAAGAACAAAGATAAACAAATTGGACCTAATTAAACTGAAAAGCTTTTCTGCACAGCAAAGGAAACCATAAACAAGATGAAAAGACAACCCAGAATGGGAGAAAATAACTGCAAATAAAGCAACTGACAAAGGATTAACCTCTAAAATACACAAACAGCTCACGCAGCTCAATATCAGAAAAACAACCCAATCAAAAAGTGAGCAGAAGACGTGAACAGACATTTCTCCAAAGAAGACATATAAGGCTAATAAGCACATGAAAAAATGCTCAACACCATTTACTATTAGAAAAATGCAACCAAACCTACAATGAGGTATTACCTCACAACAGTCAGAATGGCCATTATCAAAAAATCTACAACAAATGCTGGAGAGGATGTGGAGAAAAGGGAACCTTCTTGCACAGTTAGTGCGAATGTAAATTGATGCAGCCACTATGGAGATTCCTTAAAAAACTAGGAATAAAACAACATATGACCCAGCAATCCCACTACTGGACATACACCCTGAGAAAACCACAATTCTAAAAGACACATATATCCCAGTGTTCACTGAAGCACTATTTACAATAGCCAGGACGTGGAAGTAACCCAATGTCTAGCAACAGATGAATGGATAAAGAAGATGTGGTACACATATACAATGGAATATTATTCAGCCATAAAAAATGAATTTGAGTCTGTTCTAGAGAGGCAGATGAACCTAGAGTCTGTCACACAGAGTGAAGTAAGTCAGAAAGAGAAAAACAAATATCATATACTAATGCATATATATGGAATCTAAAAAAGTGGTACTGACGAACCTATTTGCTGGGCAGGAACATAGATGTCGGCACAGAGGACAGACTTGTGGACACAGCAGGAGGAGAGGGTGGGATGAACTGAAGAGCAGCACTGAAACATATACACTACCATATGTGAACCAGCCAGTGGGCATTTGCTGTAGGACACAGGGAGCTCGCCCAGGGCTGTGTGACAGCTTGTGGGGGAGGCAGGAGGGAAGCTGGAGGAGGAGGACGAGGGCACACCGATGGCTGATTCACGCTGATGTACGGCAGAAACCAACACAGTGCTGCAAAGCAGCTAACCTCCAGTTAAACAAATTTTTAAAAAAAAGAGGTACCCATGTTCACTGTAGCATTATTTACAGTTGTCAACATATGGACACAATCCAAGTGTCCACTGACAGGTGAAGGAAAATAGGAAATGTCATATGTATACGTAATGGAATATAACTGAGCTATAAAAAAGAAGAAGGTGGTTGCCAGAAGTTGGGGAGTGGACAGTGGGGGAAACAGATGAAGGGGGTCAAAAGGTACAAGCTTCCAGTTATAAAATAAGTCATGAAGATGTAACGCACACCATGAAGACTGTAGTTAATACTATTATAAGTTGCTAAGAAGGTAGATCTTAAAAATCTTCATCACAAGAAAAAAACTGTAACTACGTATGGTAACAGATATTACCTAGACTTACTGTGGTGACCACTTTGTAACATATGCTAATATCTAATCATCACACTGCACACCCATAACTAATGTTATTTGTCAGCTATACTGCAATTTTTTTAAAGAAGTCTGAAGTACCTATAACAATGCCCTACTCCAAAGAGAAAATTTTCTCATTAAAGTCACTTTGTCCTTCAAATTGAATCTAGACCAAGAAAACAGATTAAATCAACTTATTATTTCTTTTAGCCATAGTTCTACAAAATTCCTATAACCTATAAAACAATTTAGTTTTATGTTTATTTTTAAAAGTCTAGCAATACCCAGTTACTTGCTTCTGACTTTATGCTGACTTTATGACTTTATGCTGACTAGCCAGACAGAAAAATGAGATGAAAGAATATGGGATTTCAAGTCAGCAATCCTTTGTATCACCAGTTATTTAATCTCTGAGATGCTCAGTTTTCAAATCTGCAAAATGAGAATAACAATTACCTTTCAGTTTCACACCACTAGGGCTGCTGTAGTAAATTAGGTGCCCCAAAGGAAATCAGGCCTGAATATTCATTGGAAGGACTGATGCTGAAGCTCCAAAACTTTGGCCACCTGATATGAAGAACTGACTCACTGGAAAAGACCCTGATGCTGGGCAAGACTGAAGGCAGGAGGACAAGGGGACGACAGAGGATGAGATGGTTGAATGGCATCACCGACTCTATGGACATGAGTCTGAGCAAGCTCCAGGAGTTGGTCATAGACAGGGAAGCCTAGCATGCTACAGTCCATGGGGTCGCCAAGATGACTGAGCAGCCAAACTGAATGAAACCTGCTTTCTGAATAAGCCAGCTCTTTCTGAATAAATCACCCGTTTTTCTGTCTCCCCCAGAGCACTTAGCACAGTGGTCTGCCCTCAGGACACCAAAGGACTCGCAGAATGATAGATAAAAATAAAAGGACTCAAGGAAGCTTTACCTTGTGGATTTGGTAAATGACGCTGGGCTGAGTTATACTTAAAATATCACTGTTTCCTTTCAGGGGCCTGGCATGGTCTTTGAACTCTTGTCCTCGGAAGTCCTCTTCACTCAGCTTGCGCCGCTGGATCATGGTCCCCATCCCTCCATCAAGCACCATGATCCTCTCCCGCAGGGTGGCTTCAATCTCATCTCGCAGGGTCTTCTCCATCCCTGCTTTAAAGAAAGTGAAAACCTGAGTTTCCAAAATGAAAGGGGAAAAAAAGGTGTGGAGAGGGACTGCAGACTAAATTAAAATAATTCACAACAGGGAGTAAGTGGGGTTCATAAATATATTCTCACAATCCTGTCGCCTTTCACAAAGGCTGCCCCAAAATGTTTTCATTAAGTTGCAACAATGCTTAATGAAACAAGAGGCAGTGCACAGCACAGTCACTGGTTTAAGGGGGGCTGTAGTTATTCCTGTCTCAAAGATGAGCACAACAGACAGCAAAGAGCCAACTGCCCCAAGCCCAGGCCAGCTGCTGGAGGCCTGCAGGACGCCCTCCCCATTGGTTCTGTGCATGTGCCCAGAATAAGACAGAAGAAGACTTGGTTTGATGGCTGAAAGCCATCAATAATTCCAAACTGCCATTTAGACTGTTAAGTCTGACGGTCTCTTCTACCTACCACGAGAACTCATGACAGGCTACCCGGCCTTGAAAAGCCCTAATGCCTACTCCTTCCAATCCTATTTTCTGGTCTCCAAGAACTACTGGAAACCACAAAACCATGCTGATTGGAATCACCGCAAATTCCTAACTTTGAGGCTTTTCTTCGGTTTACCTTTCCTCAGCTCCCCCAACAACACTTCCCATACCTGCTATCCCAGACCTCTGCTTGCCTTTAGCACAAAATCCTTCTCATCCTTTTAACTCAGAGGTGACTTCACCTAATCCTGTACAAAAGACTCTTGAGAAGACTCTTTGGGGAGCTCCTCAAATTCACCCCCCACACACACACCACAAAACCCTCTTGCAGCTTGGTTCCCTCTGCTCCTAAAGAAGAACATGTGATCACTTCCACCCACACCTCCCACTGTCCCTCCCGTCTACCCCTTCCCACCTCCAGCAATTCTACCTCAACCTATCTTCATGCTGTGGCTTCTTCCTCCACACGCTGCTGAAATCACTCCCTAAAGTCACACATGATCTTTTAATTATCAGAAACACTGGGCTGCAACCTAAGACTCAGGCCCCAAGCTGGCCAGGTGTTAGAGCCTGCCCCTCAATCTACTGCCCAAAACCAAGCTTGCCACACTCCCTGTCTGGTTTCTCTAGTTCTGTAAATGCGTCATCCTTCCCAGAAGACTGACTTGACAATCTCAGCGTTATGTGGCCCCTCGCTCTCCTTGATAACCAATATCTACTCAGATCTCAAGCCCCATAGCTCTGGCATCCAGAATGCCATCCACACTGGGTCCACCTTCCATCCCCAGTGCCAACCCTTTCCTCAAGATATTACTACACATCCAGCCATTACAGGTCCTCTCTGAGCTTCAGTCTGCATCCATGAAAACTAAGAAAGACAATGCCTGCTCATCCTAACTTCACAGAATTGTCTTATAGGTTAAAGGAGATCAGATACAAAGATGATATGTTCAAAAAAAAAAAAATCAAGTGTCATATAAAGTGTCATCTCAACCACCGGGGTGACTATACCTGGGCACCCTATGTTTCAATCCATCGTATGCATTAGATTCATCTTCCTAAAAAGCATGTTTAAAGCAGTTGCTTCCAATGCTTCCAACCTTCAACAATTCCCTACTGCCTACCAAATTTACTACAAGTTATTCAAAACAAATCACAATGACACCCACCTCTCTTGTCAACATGTGCTTCTGTGCTCCCTGAGAGGGAAGCAAAGCTGGAGTAAAATGCAGCTGGCTCTAAGCTCTAAGCTCTTTGAGCCTCTTGGAGGGAGACTGGGATTAGGCCAACTCATCTGTATCCCAAGTAACACCAAGGACAGTATCCAGCACTTAAGTGTTCAGTAAGTATTTCCTAAACTGACACAGCAAAAGAGTGAGGAAAGATGACAAGAGAAGGTCATTTAAGCCCCAAACCAGTAACATATGAACATTTGTAAACTGGCAGTGGTGCAAATTTAAAACCCAGCTCTTACTGTCCAGAGTCTTAGGTATTCTATATAGAAACAGGGGATGGATGGTAGCTATAGAGTTATTTTGACTGAATTACTCCTTAATAGGCTTCAGAAAGGTTGCTCTAGCAAGCTGTAAAGTAAATTTGTCGGTATGTGGTTTCTTTCCTAGAGGACATTATGTTTATTTCAGGGTTTACTATTCCTTTCCAAAACTAACTCACTGGCTAATTTTGTTTATTGAGCTAACAGGGGAAAGAAAACTGTTCCTGAAAAAGGAACAAAGTTAGGATCCAAAAATCTGAGCAGTAGTACCTCAAGCACCAAAGGAAAAAAGCCACTTTCTGAAAGCGTGAAGAAAAGGCAGGGCTTAACGAGACATGTATACTAGAAAGCCTGGTAGGCAACCGGGAAGTGGTCTGGTCATTTCCAATTAATGTCAACAAAGGCAATTCAGGTGTGGCGCTAAGTTAGACATCCCATGATGTGGCTGTCCTTCAGCTAAGAAGCACCCAGAACTGGACATGATTAGGCTAATGGGGACAGGACAAAAAAAGCCAAGAAACCCGGGTCTCAGCCCCAGCTCTCAAAGGTGGCTATGGGGTTTCAGGCAAACTGTGTTTTGCCTTGTCACAGGACATGTGACAACAGAACAAGACGATGCATTTGAAGGCATGTTCCAGATGTTAGCAACTGGGACTCTCATATCATAAAAGTCAGGAAGTGAGACATGTAACCTTGGCATAATCACCCCACAAGTGTTAGCATTCCTATTATGTCATTATTATTGCATAGCTAACAAAAAGTAGAGCTAGGATCGAAACTCTGAAGGTTGCTTTCTATACTCTACAAGTCCAATGGGTTAAGAAAAAGCATCAAGGAAGCCTGAAGCGCTCAGCTCTGTTCATGTTGGGGCAGGAGGCGGGAATGGCATGTTTGCAGGTTTAGAGATGAACTTGAATGAGGCAGAGCAAACACAATAATCAGCAAAAACATTTACATGGAGATCCTTTCAGATGGGGAATCAAAAGAAAGATTAAAAACTTCAACCTATATGCTCAACTGAATTCCTTTCTTTTTCAAAGAATGTAGCTGCAACCCTTCCTAAAATGAGAGCATGTGTGACTGAATCACCCAACTGATGGGAACCCAGGGTGTGGACATGGTGGTGGTGGAGGGAAGCTGGAGGAGGGAGTAGGTGCATGCATGCAATCTAATTCTTTTCCCCAAACTTTAAACATTTTGTAATGGTGTACAGCCAATTAACAATGTCGTGGTAGTTTCAGGAGAAGAGGAAAGGGACTCAGCCATACATATACACGTGAGCATTCTCCCCCAAACCTCCCTCCTCTGCACATAACATTGAGCAGAGTTCCATGTGCTATACAATAGTCCCTGTTAGCTATCCAAGGTATTCAAGGGATTTCCCTGGTAGTCCTGTGGTTAAGACTTTGCCTTCCAACGAAGGAGGCACAGGTTTTATCCCTGGTTGGGGAGCTAAGATCCCACGTGCCTCAGGGCCAAAAAAACAAAACATAAAATAGAAGCAATACTGTAACAAATTCAATAAAGACTTTAAAAATGGTCCACGTCAAAAAAAGCTGCCCACTCTTGCACTATTATTCAACATAGTTTTGGAAAACAGAGCCATGGCAGAGAAGAAAAAGAAAGAAAAGGAATCCAGAAGGAAAATAAGAAGTAAAACCCTCACTTTTTGCAGATGACATGCTATTTATACATAGAAAATCCTAAAGATGCCACCAGAACATTACTAGAATTAATCAATGAAAATAGTAAAGTCACAGGATCTAAAATTAATATACAAAAATCCCTGCATTCCTATTCACTAGGAATCTGAAAGAGAAATTAAGGAAACAATCCCACTCACAAATGCAACAAAATTAATAAAATACCTAGCAATAAACCTATCTAAAGAGACAAAAGACCTGTATGCAGAAAACTGTAAGACACTAATGAAAGAAATCAAAGGTGACACAAGACAGATGGAGAGATATACCATGTTCTTGGATTGGAAGAATCAATATTGTGAAAATAATCATACTGCCCAAAACAATCTACAGATTCATTGAAATCTCTATCGACTATCAATGGTATTTTTCACAGATCTAGAACAATTTCACAATTTGTATGGAAACACAAAAGACCTCAAATAGCCAAAGAAATCTTGAGAAAGAAAAAGAGAGATGGAAGAATCAACCTTCCTGACTTCACACTATACTACAAAGCTACAGTCATCAAGACAGTATGGTACTGGCACAAGAAGAGAAATACAGACCAACAGAATAACATAGAAATCTCAGAGGTAAACCCATGTACCTATGGGTACCTTGTCTTTGACAAAGGAGGAAGAATAAAAGACTATACAATGGAGAAAAGACAGCCTCTTCAATAAGTGATGCTGAGAAAACTGGACTGCTACATGTAAAAGAATAAAACTAGCACATTTCCTAACACCATGCACAAAAATAAACTCAAAATGGATTAAAGACTTAAATAAATGTAAGCCCAGAAACTGTAAACCCCTTAGAGAAAAACACAGGCAGTATACTCTTGGACATAAATCACAAGAAGATCCTCTTTGACTCACCTCCGAGAGTAACAGAAATAAAAACAAAAATAAACAAATGGGGCCTAATTAAACTTAAATGCTTTTGCACAACAAAGGAAACCATAAACAAGATGAAAAGACAACAGTCAGAATGGGAGAAAATAATTGCAAACAAAACAACTGACAAAGGATTAATCTCCAAAATATATAAGCAGTTCATACATCTCAATATAATATCAGAAAAACAAACAGCCCGGTCAAAAAATGAGCAAAAGACCTGAACGGGCATTTCTCCAAAGACACACAGGTGGCCAACAAACACATGAAAAGATGCCCAACATCATTAGTTATTAGAGAAGTATAAATCAAAACTACAATGAGGTGTCACTTCACACCAGTCAGAATGGCCATCATCAAAAAAATCTACCAACAATAAAAGCTATAGAGGATGTGGAGAAAAGGGAACCCTCCTCCACTGTTGGTGGGAATGTAAATTGATGCAGGCACT